ACAGACTTTGGTGCAGAAGATTTTCTCTCTTGGACCGAGTCCCACACTGGGGAACTGGCTCATGGATTTCCTTACCAACAGATCTCAAACTGTGAGGATCCAAAGCTGCCTCTCCTCCTTGATCACTCTCAGCACCGCCTCGCCTCAGGGCTGCATGTTAAGCCCCCTCCTATTTACTCTGCTGACATCTGATGCTCTGCAAGACACTCCAGCTCTCATAAATTAAAATTTGCAGTCGTCACTGCATCACAAATAACAAGCAGTCCAAATACACAGACGGTTGAACAGCTGGTCCAGAGACAATAACCTCTGCATGAGGTTGAAGGAGAACAGAGTTGGTGATACATTTCAAAGGGACAAGGCTCATCTTCAGCCTCTATACCTTGGAGGAGCGACTGTAGAGGTGGCTGGATGAGCATCTATCCAGTACCCTTAATGCTTCCTTCTGGTCAGGAAAGCCCATCAGTGTCTTTACCTCCTCAGGAAGCTGCATAGAGTTGGACTCAGGACCTCAGTTCTGAGGAACCTTTATTGCTGTGGGATGCAGAGCGCTCTCTGCATGACAGCTGCACAGAGGACTGCAGGGAGCAGCCTTCATTCAGATGCAGGGGAAAGGCGCACTGAAGGACTCCACCCATCCTGCACACAGACTGGTTCAGCCTCTCCCGTAAGGCAGGCGGCTGAGGAGCATCCAGAGCGAGACCAGCAGACTCAGAAACAAAACAGCTGTTAAGACCACTGACCCTGAGCTGCACTGATTCTGCTTCATCTCTTTTTTTTTTCTCAAATTTTATAAGAGAGACCCGAGTCTATATTTTGTACCACAAACATGCAAATTTGAGAAGGTATGACAATAAAGAATAATTTTATTCTTCAATTTCTATGCAGTCATTAATGCACAAAAACATGTTTTTGATGCTGCTGGGTATAGAGCTTCACAAAGGTAAATCTAGATGCTTTTAATGCCAGAGGACCTCCCAGCTCATCACTGGGCTGTTTTCAGGATCTACTGGTCTCAGTGGCAGAGCTCATGAGGAAAGGTGACTATCCAGATGGAGGAGGAGCTTGCTCAGATCTGTCGGCTGCAACACAGCCTTTCAGCAGCAAATGCATCTCTAGTACCGGTAATCTAAAGCACAGTTTTTATACCTCGGTTCTCAAGGCTAAGAAACAATCCTCTGCTTTAACATGGAACATTTAGGGGAAAAAAACGAGTAAACCATGAACCACTTAATAAGCCTTGATTTGAAATCAGGGACCATGTAAAACCTGCAGGGCGCTGAACCATGAGGAGCAGTGTTGGAAAATGCTCCTCCTGAGACTTTACGTTCTGAAACATTAGCTTTTGTTGGCTATGAATGCCTTTTAATAAGCGCCTAAAGGAAATTATTAACAAAGTGAGTAAAGCAAAGCAAAATGACCAAATCGAGGCTGCAACTCATTATCAGGAAATTTAGTTTCATTAACAGATCTTAAAAGTCAGTCGGTTCTAGTATCTGTTGGTTATTGTGAAAAGCAATGGGGGGATTTACCATTAGACACTACTAGGCAGCTGCCTCGGGGCCCAAGTTCCAATGGGCCCCATAAAACCGTGTGTACATGTATAATTAATACAGCTATTCCTTATTTGTACACATTAAGTATGTTTTTGATTATAAACCTTTCACTAAAATGCCATCAGAACGTGTATAATATTCAGTGTATCTCAGAACCTTTTTTTGTTTTAAGGCATTTTTCTTTAAACTCTGTGCCATTATGAATTTAAAACCTAAAGCTGCCTGATCCAGAACTAAGCACATCACAACACATTTCAATTACACTTTCAAACAGCTTTTACATCGGTGCAGATTTCTTATCCTTTTACAGTGAAACATGACATCCTTATAAATAAACTATCAAAGTATATTTTCTCACTAACGGTTCTGAGACAGTGGATTAAGTCATATTTGGAAAAGCAGGAAGCAGTGCATTTGGTTCAGTAATGGCACTTTGAGCATGTCAATAACATCATGGGTGCGGCTGACCCTCTTATCCACTCTATGTAAGACAGACAGTCTGAGGCCTGATTGTAAACAACCTGCTCTGGGTTTGCAGATGGAAATCAGCCTCCATGGCAGTCACAAATATCAGACGTTGAATGAATGAATGAATTAATTAATTAATTAATGACTGAATGAATGAATGAATGAATGAATAAGGATTTATTTCAGGTAATTTTTTGGACAGACAGTTTGACAAACAACAATAAATTATTCAGCCAAATACACAGAAAAGACATTAGTTAATATCAACCAGAGCAAACACCCATTTCCAAACTAAAGTCACCTGAACATAAAAAAAGAAACAAAACCCTCCACCAAATAAACCTGTCGGTATATACAACCAGAGAAATATTGATTCATGTAAATTGTCTGAAAAGGGGTATGAAGAAGTGAAACTTATTTTTTATACTCCCTCTCCCTCTAATTGCACTTAAATTAACTTAAAGTAGAGTAACCCTTCTGTTAAACTTGTTTTTATCCAATATTCAAACACACAATATATATATAAATATATATATATATATATATATGTACACAGTACACACACATATACACAATAATAAATATACAGTAGCAGCCATTCAAAATGACCCTTCACAGTGAAATGCCAGCCTATTGACAGCCCACTTCCCTGCAGCTCCCAGCTAAATCCGCTGTTACTTCCAGCCACTGGACTTCAAGTTTTTTACTCTGACTGCACCCTTTAACTTAATTACAGGGTCTGACCAGGAGATGATGACGCTTCTCTTTAGATATTAATGTCCACAAATTCAGAAAGAAAGAATATTTGAGTAAAAAAGGAATTGAAGGACGACCAAGGACCAGTCAAGGAAAGTGGGGAAATTTTTAATGGCTACTACTGTGTATAACATGTACAGTACATAATATGCACTGTATATAATATGTATAATTATGTAAGACATTACAGT